AGTACTCTAGCCCAATAATGTTGGGGGATCCAGTGGGGGCGGCAGCCATATTTTAGGGTGACCCTGCCACTCTTTATCGCAACTCTGCTAAAAGTGCCAGTACGTGCGCTCATTGGCGCCCCTTCAGCTGGTGGCGCCCTAGGCGACCGCCTAGCTCGCCTATGCCTAGAAACGGCCCTGATCTACAGGATAAGTGCGCTTTTTTTATTCACTAATGAAAAATGGCCTCTAATGGACGAAAGGTCAGGTAATAACTGCACATTCTCATAGAAAAGAGGAATAATGACAAATGAATGTACAAACCTCAGAGAGCAGACAGAGAAAAAGGAGGGGAGCTTTCTCTGCCATTACCTGAGTCATTCACACAGGAACAGAGAGAGCAGAAAAGAAGCAGTGATAGAAAGCTGAGAGAGTGTGTGGGCGCATCCATAGAGTTGATTAGTAAGCCCATTAGGACCGAGAAAGATTGTCATTGTATAAGACTCCCCAGTGAAATATGCTGGGTCAGCTGTGGCTGAATATTGGAAGTTTTTACTTGTTACCATGTAAGAACAGCTTCTGCATATCAAATGTCTAGTCCATATAACCATTATTTTAAAACTAATGTCTAGCACTAAAAATACCTGTATAATTGGAAACATGTATGGGGCATATACAGAGACACTTTAGAAAATATATGACAACAATAAAAAATATATATCAAAGCAAGTGGAATTTATCTTAGCGCAAACACTTTTCAAGAAAAACATTTCACATCAAAGTTCAAATTATGAAACAATAGTTGAATTATTTTTAGACCAACTGGTCACTGCAAAAACAGCAAAAAAGTTCAGAGAAAAGGTGTAAAATCACATTTTCAGGTCACACTTGGTTTGACATTTTATCTAATGCAGTTCAATTTATTTATTTTAAGTGTGGCTTAAATGTCCAAAACGATCTAAATACTTTTGGGGGTTATGTCACATCGCCCTTTCTCTGTATGCAAAGTTATCTATATGTGGTGACTCTTACATTTAAATTTAAATGTATTAATTCAGTAGACCCTTTTATCCAAAATGACTTATAAATTAGGAAAATAATGTGATTCATTCTAAGGAAGTAGCAACATAAGAAGTGCTATAATGCAAAGTTCCAATATTTTTGGAGCTATAGATTGCGTATCAACAGGATTCCCTCAAGTGCTCATGAAAAAGATGAATTTGAACGGTTCAGTCCTCTGTCAAATAATGACCAGCACCAGAGAGGAAAAGTAACAGCTCACTGATTGCCATGGTTGCCAGTAATTAATGACCATATGGTCAAGGTGGATACATTGCGCTGTAGGCTAAATGTAATGTTTGATGGTAAACATGAAGACTTTAATGTAGTACAAATGTTTCAGCAACAGATCGTGATAAAACCACTAATGGTGTGCATAATTGTGGTTTGCATTTAAAACTAAAACCACAACAGAGACATGCTCTATTATGTATTATAGCTACATAATGATTTCTGGCATGTGAAGACATTTCTACTTAACTTCTCTCAGCTACCCATATACCTATCTGGACAGATACAACTTCTAGTGCAATATTAGTTATTAGAGAAAGAAATAATAGATCACAAGATTTTCTGCTCAAACATTTGTGGTGGTCACAATGACTCATCTCTTATCTGCCATGAGAATATTTCTTCAGATGAGTTTGAGCTCAAGGTGTATAAAGCAGTAGTGAAGAGGGTATCAGCTTTGAGCCTGAGCTGATGTGTCATTGTAAATGAGATGGCCATGCCGACATCTCAGAGTGAACCACTGACAGATATTGTGAGCGAGAGTGGGCAGACTGCAGATTTTGTATGTGTTCAACATCGCAAAGTCATGATGTTTCTAAGTTAAACTATGGTAGATTTAAAATCCAATCAAAACCTGTTTCAGAACTAAAGTGAGCTTCCCTATAAGACATACTTCAGTCTAATTACAACTAACTATTTTACCCAATATTTGTGTGTGCTATGTATTTTTTTGGCTATTAAATAATAGTGTCTATAGAATAGCTAATGTAAAATCAGTTGTGTATCAATTCTCCCGTGTACAATCAGTCAGTTATTATAACTGTAGGATACTGCCTTAAAAGGATGCTGCTTATGTAAACAGTAATTCACTAGGATCTGTAACAGCGCAACAGAGTCTGCCATCTGTAATGCCTGAATTTGTCACAAACATCTGAAGTTCAATTAATAGGATTGTTAGAATTGTTATCCCAAGTATACAACCGTGTACTCACTGATGTGTACAGATGGCCTTCTCCATTCATGGCAATGTACAAGCCCGTCTTCACAGACTGAATAGCAACAACCCGAAGGCCCACAGGGATGAGGTTGAACAACGCTGTAAAGACAATACGGGGGTTAACAAACGTGACTTTCCCATAAATTCAAAATTCAACAAATTATATCTAAAAAAAAGAACTGAGGAATTACTGTCAAATTTTAAAATTAAAACACAACTATTACAATTTTTGAAGAAAATGTGAGTATGTGGTTGCTATGGTGCTTTTGAATGTTGCAATGCAGTTCTAAGAGTGATTAGGATGTAGAACAAACCTCTAACCCTAATAATAATAGCAAACATCACTAAAATGGAATTAGAATGATAAACAATGGGCTTCAAATCTCAACCCATAAATTGAACACGGGCCACACTCCACAGAGTGCAAAAACAGGGATAGTGTGAAGCATAAAAACTGATACACAGAAATTGAATGGAGGCCTCATATTATGTAGAATAATTGTTTTTATGCCCAGTGGGCAGCAACAGAAGCCTGGCGCTACAAGCTGGAGCATAGAAGGCTAGCGATTGGAGGCAGTAGTAGTGCGTGGCAGATTTAATTGATCTTTTGTTGTTGGAGCAGCTCTTCGGTCTTGTTATGTAATGGCCATTGTTTGTACTGGAGGGGAGAAACAGCCTAGCTGGTGACACTAAGTGCATCCAAAGGGGTGATTTAAACCTACAGTGTAATGAACTAAATTCAACTCACTGGTAATTGGCAGAGCTCCCGGGGTGCTTGAATGAAAATTATTTCAGAAAAGCCCTGGTCTGGAAGACTCTGGTGTGGCAAAATATGAGTGGGACGGTTACATCAAAGTGAGTTTCTGGAAGTGCTCCACGGGCACATTGGAACAGATTCTTAGAAGGGAACAAAATGGACTTTGCATCCTTGCCTTCCAAAGAGAGCATGATATTAAATGCTATTTCATTTTTTTTCTTCGCCCCGTTTCACTCCATCTCTCTATCTATATTTGGCTTTGCAACTTACAGAATTTATATAAATAACCAATATTAATAACTTCCTAAAAAAAATCAAAGCAAGTGGAATTTATTTTTAAGATAGCACAAGTATTTTCACAAAAAAATCTAATTATTAAATAATAGATAAAAACGTCTCAGGTTACCCATGTAACCACGGTTCCCTGAGAAGGGGAACGAGACACTGCGTCCCCTAGAGGACACTTTGGGGAATGCCCTCAGCGTGACCGGTGTCTGAAGTGCATGTGGAAACACGACAATGAACTTGTCATTGGCCCATGACGTGTTACTGGTGCGACCAAGAGTATAAAAGGGCACCTGTAGCACACGTCATCAGCTTCTTGTCTGAAGGAGACGTGCACAGAAATGCCTGAAGCATGGAAAGTGGACGCAGTGTCTCGTTCCCCTTCTTAGGGAACTATGGTTACATGCGTAATCTGAGATGTTCCAAGTCGCGGAATAGCCCACCATCTCCACCTACCTCTCATCTGTGAGTGCAAAACAGAGGGAACCTTGCACTAACATAAGGTAAATATAAGAAGTGGGAACGCGAGAAGTGGTGCTGCCCATCTACTTCTTAACGTCTTGATATTGTGAGGATCATAGCCGAAGAGGTGGGACGCGAGCCGCGGAATAGCCCACCATCTCTGCGCACTTCTCACATCTATGCACACAAACGGAGGGAAACCCCTTCTGTGCTATCACATGGTAATTTACAAGAAGCTGGAACGCGAGAAGCGGTACTGCCCATCTACTTTTAAACGTCTTGATATTGTGAGGATCATAGCCGAAGAGGTGGGACGCGAGCCGCGGAATAGCCCACCATCTCCGCGTACTTCTCACATCTATGCACACAAACGGAGGGAAACCCCCTTGTGGTAAGCACCGCAGGTCATAAGAAGTGGGCCTTTAGCAGATCCGCTTGGTAAGCCTGCAATACAGAGATAATATGCAGGGTACCGCCCGCCTGCCCAGCCGCCACGTATGCCTTGCCCACGAGCCTAGATGTAAACTGGCACGGCTTCGAAGGCAAGGTAGGAGCCCTCCACGAAGATGCCTGGGGAGCCGCGAGATAACCCGCAAGGGATTCCTCCATCTGAGGCATCTTCGTGTACCCGCTGTCTTCCAGCCCCTTCACATTAGCGTAGTTTGACTTGTTAGGGGGAAAGACGCGGGCAGAGAAAGGATTCCTCCATGACCTCAACAGCTCGCTGTGAAGCTCAGGGAGGAATGGAAGGCTCGGAGGGGCGGAGCGTTTATATAGGGAACAAAGATGTTAGTTCAAAGAAAGGGTCTCAAATTATTTGTTTGCTGATCACATTTGGTTTGACATTTTGTTGTCTAATTTATTCATTTTAAGTGTGCCTTATTTGTTCAAAACTGTCCAAATTCTACAAATCTACATTTGGGTTTACAACTATAATTCTACATAAAAAATATATATATATATATATATATATATATTTAACTTAAAATTCAAACTTATTTTTCTCCCTTGCAATCAATGCTGTTTCCTTTCGGAAAGGAAAATCTAGTAACTGCTGTTGTTGGATTACTTCAGGGAAACTGATTACTTCAGTAAAAATTGTAAATGTTTTTATATTGTTATATGCCAACTCTACATTTATTTTAGGGTTTCTGCAGGATTTTTAAGCTGAAATTTAAGACTTTTTAAGACCTTTTTTAAGACCTGCACAAATAAATTTAATACCATATGAGCGGGGTAGGGCAATGCCTATAGTACCATATTAAACTGTAAAATTACTGTAAAAAGCATAATTTACAGTTCAGATACAAGTTTTCACAAAAACAAACGGTTTTACAAATGATCAACTTTACATTTCAGCCTTTAAACCATTTTTAAGAAAATGGATGAGTCAAAAGTATTAATTATTAACTTAATTATTATGAATAAATTGTTATATAAATTAAATAACATAAATTAGGGGTGTGAAATATTGACAAAAAATGATATTTTCTGGGATTTTATCGATAACTATAATTAGACGATATTTCACTGAGTGTTATTGTGCTGGTATTTTAAGGACTACCGTGGACAGCTGACTCCTGAATTTTTGATATTCTTCATATTCTGTGTGGTCAGTTCACAGCAGTGATATAAATTAATCTTTTCCAACAAGTTTTATGGGCATTTTTACCTTTATAAAGTCATTTTTTCTAAAAGTGTGCATCATCTTTTGAGTTAAATTCTTCCATTTGGGCTTTTACCAAGCAAATGAAATCAGTATCAACAGAATTCATCTTTGCAATGCAGAGAAAACACAGAAGCTACATCTGAAGTGGCATTTAAATGTATTTACACACTGTTTAATGCAGCTCTGAGGGACATGGAATACTTTAACCTGCAGTTACAAATGCATAAATAATGTTTTGATATTTTAAACATAAAACATTCAAAACTGATGTTTGAAATTATTACAAAAATTAAAAGATCATTTAAATGTGAAGTTAAAACCGCCAGTAGGTGGCAGCAAGTCACTGTTAATAAGTGAGTCATTGCAATTGAACCGAATCATTTAAACGGTTGATTCATTCAGGAACGAAACACTGTCATGTTGCTCAGAGACGCAAAACAGTGCTGTGGCCTTGTTTGGTATGATTTTTGTTGGCGAAATAGAGCAAAAGCAGGCAATATGGTGTCTAAAACGTAAGTCTCTTAATATTAACTTCTTGTTTATTGAACTGTTGTCTTTTCGCAATATACTCGATAATGTCAAATCGCACATAGTTAAAACAACAATTACGATATTAAGGCAGACCATTCATATCGCACACACCTTTACTGTTTAGATTTTTATAATGTATTGTTTTCTTATCAATCCACCAGTTCACATTTAAAGGTCTGCGTGTTTGCAGTGTAAAAGCATGGGTGGATTTTCGCATTTGTCTGAACTCTGATCAAAACAAGTTTTATTGAAATTGCACATTCATTCTCTGCTAGCAAGAGGCGCGTTTGGTAGAAATATAACTGTTTCCCCGGTAACGGCAGAACACAAAGCAGTGCAGCACTGGACTTTGAACGTGCAGCGCTCATGTTTAATAGCCTTTTGAAGTTTAATCGTCACATTGAGCCATATCGCAATTCTGGTCTTTCCGTCCCCAAATTTTTTCTACCCCCATATCTTGAATTATCTGATAATTCTAAATGCATTTTAATAGACTGATTCATGCAGTGAAAGAAGGCACTCTAAATGCGTACGTGCACTAGTAGTTAAAACAACAATTACGATATTAAGGCAGACCATTCATATCGCACACACCTTTACTGTTTAGATTTTTATAATGTATTGTTTTCTTATCAATCCACCAGTTCACATTTAAAGGTCTGCGTGTTTGCAGTGTAAAAGCATGGGTGGATTTTCGCATTTGTCTGAACTCTGATCAAAACAAGTTTTATTGAAATTGCACATTCATTCTCTGCTAGCAAGAGGCGCGTTTGGTAGAAATATAACTGTTTCCCCGGTAACGGCAGAACACAAAGCAGTGCAGCACTGGACTTTGAACGTGCAGCACTCGTATTTATTCAATGAAATCATAGCCTTTTGAAGTTTAATCGTCACATTCAGCCATATCGCAATTCTGGTCTTTCCGTCCCCGTGTGGAGACCGGGTCTCGTGCACCGCCGTCCTCGCCCTCTTGGGACCCGGAGGCAAAGGATCCTGCTCTTTTATTGAAGTTTTGGGTACCAGAAACAAACGGGAACAAAAGATTCTCCACCCGGCCCTCCTCCGGAAACACTTGCGGAGATTTGTCTTGCTAGAAGGCTCGGCTCCAAAGCGAAAAGCTGATGTGCGTTTGCACGCGCTCTCCTTTTATACCCGCGCTGCGGGGCGGGGTGCGCGTGGCGAAACACGCACGCCAACTGTCATTGGCTTGTTTAGTTAACACTCAAAGGTGATTGGGCTCTCGGGCGAGATCCCAATTCGTCAGTCACGACTGACGTAACGTCGAACGTGACTGACTGAAAGGGAACCCTGTATTTTCTGCATTTGTGTGGGTGTGTTTTTTAGTGTCACAAATGTCAAGTGTCATCTTCTCTAGAAGTGTGTGACTGACAGAGAGCCCTCTGTTTGTCACTCTTTCGTTACAGCTGCATATTAAAATCAAATTAAGCAGCTGGCCTGAAGCATTTGAAAAGCAGACCCAGTAGAGGCTAATAATACACCACTGCCTCCTGAGTTATCACCTCACATGCACACACACATCTCCCCAAGGACCAGCCTACTGCCATATCAGCAACAGTGATAACTACATAAAATGAATCAGTAACAGGGATTTTATAAATGTGTGTAGTAAAAATAATATATGCATTTGAGCACACATTACGTTTTAAGTGTAGCTGTAGCATTTTGTGCACTTGAAATATCAAGCAGGTGTCATTCCTTCTGAAACACTTTCATGTTTTGATTATTATGTGCAATAATGATGAAATTAGAGGGAACTCACAAGAATTACTACTGTCATCCTTAGTCCCATCAAGAGATCCATCTGGGTTCATTTGCAAGTAGTATCCCTGCCTGCAGTATAACCTGGTCACTAGACCCTTGAGCTGGGGATCTGTGGAGAAAGACAGAAAACACTCAATAATCAACAAACTTATTTTAGATTAACTACAGTCTATAGACATTACAAATGTAAACCTAAGTTTATGTAATCTTCCAATACATGTAAAGAGAATGATGTAAAGTTATATTCCACACAAAAATGAAAATTCTGTCATCATTTATTCACCCTCATGTCATTCCAACCCTGTATGCATTTCTTTCTTGTACAGAACACAAAAGACGATATTCTGGAGAACACTATGAACCAAATAACACTGGAGCCCATTGACTTCCATTGTATGGACAAAACATCTTCTTTAATGTTCCACAGAACAAAGAAAGTGCTGTGCATTGACTTTAATATGAAGTAGACTCCATAGCGCCCTCTTTAGCTGGGCCTGATAAAGATTTGTCTTAACCATCTGGTGTCAAATTTCATACAAATCAAATTATTTCCTAATAATAATAATAATAATCTAAAGCATATTGTTACATTAATGTGATGACATAACCGTAAAGCAGAACAGTAGAAGATATAAAGATAATTATAAGTTGATATCAACAGGGAGCTTAACAGAAAAATCAGTGAGGTAACCAGGCAAGTGATCTCACTCTTCACATGAACAGTTTGAGTAGCACTGTAATCTGATTGCTAAACAGAAGGGGATGGTTTTATGATTACAATTTGTTGTGCACAAATTGTCATAGGTCTGTTTTTGGACAGAATTTAACTGGATTTTAGGATGTCATACTATAGTAAAAAATTAGGATAAAGGGTGTCCACTCCTGTGTTCCTTTTGACTTCTTACTTACAGCAGTAAGAGAAACAGATTTTTCACATGCGAGTGGAGATCTAAAGGAAATAACAAACCAACGAAGGTTCTATCAAAACACTGTCCTTTATTTCAGAGTTCATACACGCATACACACGTTACAGCTACACTGTTTTTTGAGTTGTGTTTACTCAAAAGTATCGCTAATGGAATATCAAATGTGTGCATACTAGACGGTGCTAATTCAAAAAGACACAACAGCAGTCTGCACTGTTGGAACGCATCTAAATACAGTAGACACGTGGTGGAGGAGCGTTCAAAAGCAGAACCAAGCATTCACACCAAATGATCTCATTCCAAGTCTTCTGAAACATTACACAGGGACATGCGTCGCTCCAAGATTGACATCAATAATTGTGTCTTCAAATCAATCACAATGTACCAAATCTGAATATGCAGCTAAATTTGTATTTCACAAAAGAAAGTCATAAAAGTTTGGAACGACATGAAGGAGAGTAAATGATGAAAGAATATGCATTTTGGTATATGCATTATCTATTTAAGTTTGTAAATGTAGTATGTGCGAATTGTAAAACGATAGTGTGAAACAAAAAAATAAATAAATGAAAAAACATACTACTGTTGGTTGTTTAAATCTGGGGAGGCTGTGTTGTGCTTTAGCAAACACTGCTCGAGGGTAATCACATAAATAGATACGAGTGACACCAATTTCATGAGACAGGAAGGAAAAACAGGAGAATTTCTTACAGTATAAAGTGCCGTAGCCTCATTTGGCTATAAGGGTCTCCTGTGATACACTTAACCAGCCTTGCTGTGCTTAACTTCAGGATGGTAAACAAATAACTGCCTTGTCATATTGATGTAGGTACAATGCTGCTGTTTACCGTTGGCCTGCTGCCCTGGATTTGCCTGCGTTAGGCTAGAAGAAACTGGCACATCAAAGGTGGAGAGAGAAATAAAAAGAGAGGGTGAGAGAAAAGAACAAAAGGAGGAAGGAGAGGGTGAGTTTAAAGGGAAAGATATATACAAAGAATGCTGATCACAGTGGTGCTTTATGATATCTGCCTCCACCTACACAGTGATGCTGCTGAGACAGCATCTTAAGATGCTTAAAGACAACAAAAAGCTCCCCAGCATTTACTTACAGGAAAAAATTAAAATAAAAAAACAAGATCAAAGAGATGGGCATGAGCTACAGTTCCATATGCATCCCCAAATGTACGCTTGCAATATTTATTGGATGTAAGGAAAATTTAATTTTCTTTCAATTTTTTAAACTCACCACCATGAGATGCCTGAATGTTGCTACGTGTAGTTGTAAAAGTGTTCAGACTCTTTTTGTAACATGTTGCTATGCAGTTGCTAAGGTGTTCTGGGTAGTTCCCAAGGCGCTGATAAGTGGTTGCTTTTTGTTGTTTTGCATCTTGCTATGTAATATCTTTGCTAGGGTGATATAGCAGGTTGCTGGACCAAGTCAAAGGAACCAACCTTCGAGTGTCTATGATATTCTGGTCTCTAAATATGGCTTAGTTCCCTCATTTAATACAAGGCTATTATGGGACATTTTTTTCAACTGTTTTATTGTCCGCCAGGGAAAAATCATGGAAAAGTAATAGCACAACTCTCTTCAACAAGCCATCTAATTTTAAGTATAACTGTAGCACAAATTGTACAAGACAAGTTTTGAAATGTATCTCAAGCAAAATCAATCAAAATAAATGGCATCCAGGAAATCAATTAAGTACATCATTAACATAGCATAAGAACATACATCTCTCACTCCCTCTATCCATATAATTACTTACTAGGAATGTTTACTCATTCTGATGTCTTTTCAAAACAGTTTTGGAGTTAATATTTTGAGAAATGCATTTTTTTACATGCAATGAAATTCTATGGGCTCCAGTGTTATTTTACCCCAAAATTCTTCAAAATACCTTCTTTTGTGATCCAACAGAAGAACGAAATTCATGCAGGTTTAAAATGACATGAGGGTGAGAAAATGTTGACAGAAGTTTCATTTTTTGGAGGACTATCCCTTATAATCGTATATATTATCATCTTTACCAACGCTTTGCCACACTGAATATTTAGAATCAAGCATTGTGACATCTGAAAATTCAATAAATACATTTTTTAAAGATGATTGACGTTCATAACATCCATCCTGATAAAAGGTAAGCAGCAGGTGCATGGTTGTGTGTGTTTGGTGGAGAGAGAGACAGAAGGAGACAGGTGGAGGTAGCTATCATCAGACAGACGGGGACGG